GGGGCGAGCAGTGTGTTGGTCTGCTTCAGCTCGGGCGACAGTGATCGACTGGCCAGTGTCAGGTCAATCTGCCCGTTTGATGGAGGCGGCGGTGGTGGTGGCGGCGGAGGAGGTGGTGGCCCTGGTGCTGGTGCAGCCACCGAATTGCCATTCACTTGAACTTTAGTAACTTTAGGCTCAACTGGACTTTGAGGAACGACGGATGGGTTTGCAGGTTTGCTGCTGCCGTTGACTGCAGCTGTACCGTTACTTAGCGGTTGCTGTTGCTGCTGCTGCTTAGCTGAAGCATACAAATCAGGCTGTCGGACCAAGTTGGGTCTTTTAACGTGGTTGATGGCAAAACTGCTCGGCTTGGGATATGTTGTTGAAGAATCTGCTGCAGGGACGACTCCGTTAGCAGGTCCACCATTAGCAGCAGCAGTAACCGCTGATTCCTCTTCATCAAATGTCGCCAGTCCAGTTCGATGACTCCAGGTGCGTGATTTGAGCTCCTGCAGGAAAGAGCGCTCTCCATTCTGACTTGCAGCGCCAATAGTGGCATTGCTCGCATTGAAAACCTTCTTGGCGGACTCCTTTGGCAATGCAAAGCCGTTTGTACTTTTCACCGGCAGAGTTCCTACCGTGCTGCCGACCACACCACCAGAAGCAGCAACACCATTCGTGCCATTCACCTTGATGACAGCTGGCGATGCTGGTTTGGAAGACTCACCATTCGGTTGACTAGGTTTGCTGCTGCTGTTGCTGCTGCTGCTGCTAATGTTGTTGTTGTTGTTGCTGCTAATGAAATTTTTGCTCACTGAATTAGTTGCAGCACTAGCAGGCTCTGATTTCCACTGTCCGGTGGTCAAGATGGGCTTTAGCCTTGGCGACTTTGGTTGCTCATAAATGTCAACCTCCTTTTTGAATGAACCGATGCGAAAGTTGGCCAACTTGCGACTGACCTGCGGTGATTCCGCCTCCGGAATGACACTGGCCGCCACGCCCACCTTACTAGAGCTTCGTCGGGCAAGGGTGCCCGAGGGTGTGTTTGGCAGCGACCGGTTCAGACTACTCAGGTCCTGGTGAGACATTGAGTAGTTGGCCTTTGAGGTGCCCAGGTTGTTGCTGTTGTTAGCCGCCACGCTGAACTTGGCGATGTTATCACGCACTGACCGCATCGGCGAAATGGAGACGAGGTTCTCACTAGAGTGTGAGCTGGAGTTCGGCACAGCTGGCGACGACAGGTCCTTCATTGAACCGATGGACACTTTGGTCGGAGCAGCGGCACTGACTACTTCCTTTTGGATCACCTGCTTCGGTGGCTGTGTCTGTGGCTGAACGGCTGCTCTTCTCTCGCCATTAGGAACCCCACTGTTGATGTTAATTTTGCTTTTACCATTTTCGACCGTTATTTGGTTCGCCTTTGAAGCAGCAGGTGCTGCTGCTGCCGCTGTCGTCACCACAACTGCTGGCTGCTGTTGTTCAACGGAAACGGGAATCTTCTTCTTTCGAATCGACGGCGGAGTCACTGGAGAACTGGCGTCCAAGCCGTCGAGAGTATCATTCAGCTCATTCAGCGTCACTTCGACCTGCTTTTGGAGGTTTCGATCTAATGTGGATGAGTTTGATCGTGACACGCTTCCGTTGGCGTTGATGTGATTTCCGTTGCGATTGACCGCCGCACCAGCACCAGGACGAAGCAGTAGTTCATTGTCCTTGGGCGCCGTCTTCCACTCGCCAATGGTGACCACACTGGGTCGCTTTAGTGAGCCGTTCATCTCGCCGTCTTCTCCTTCCTCTTCTTGGTCCTGGTCAGGATCGGCAAAATCGACTGTCACTTCCTGAACCTCAGCTGGCACCTTGATGCTGCTGTGCAGAAACGACGAACGGTTGTCGATGTCCGCTTTCGCTGAACTCACACTGCCAATTGAAGGCGACTCCTCAGCGNACACTGGGTCGCTTTAGTGAGCCGTTCATCTCGCCGTCTTCTCCTTCCTCTTCTTGGTCCTGGTCAGGATCGGCAAAATCGACTGTCACTTCCTGAACCTCAGCTGGCACCTTGATGCTGCTGTGCAGAAACGACGAACGGTTGTCGATGTCCGCTTTCGCTGAACTCACACTGCCAATTGAAGGCGACTCCTCAGCGACCACTTTGATGATGCTGCTGCTTTGGCGTCGAACAGCCGCCTCCTCCTCCTTCTTCTCCTTGTCACCACCTTGTGGTAGTGGTTCTGGCAGCGACTTCTTTTCTGATGTGGTTGCTGCTGATGCTGATGCAGATGTTGGCACGGCAGCAGCCTCCTTCGGCGACGAGATGGCTGCTGATTTGCTGCTGCTGTCTGCTGTTGGGAAAAAGAAAGAGAAAGACAGAAAGGACAGAATTAGAAACGCTTGTAACATCATCACAGTGCACACAAACACACAGGCGCACACAGATTGACACAATTGAGTTTAGGGAAACTAAAAAGCGATCCATTTAGCAGGGAGACACGCCAACAGGTAGGACACACACAACAACAAACACAACAAACGAAAAGCAAACGAAAAAAACTGTTAGCATTTGCCGTTTAAGCCAATATTGTCCCCTTTTTCGATGCTGCTGTTGTTGTTAGCCATTCAAAAGGGAAGTAGAGAGGAGGCACAACTCATAAGTGAACTTTAAGGTAAAAATTCAGTTATGATGATGACCTATTACCAAGAAGAAGAAGAAGAAGAAAAGATGAGCCCAAGGACGACGTTAGCGACTTCAACGCAAATACATGTTCGGGAAATTGAATGCAAGACGATTAGAGTCGCTGCCGCCGTGTAGGCCAGCATCAACAGCAGCGGCTGTGGCAAATGACATCTCAAATGTGACTGGCAATTATAAAATCTCCAAAAAGCCAGATGAGCAAGTAGGCACAGGTAGGCGGACAATTAACACCGCACTGAAGGTGAATTCTCATGCACAGCTTCTTCTAACATGGTCAGCGGCGGGCGATAACTATCTTAAAGACAAACACACACAGTTTTTTTAATTTCAAAGTGGAAACACTGCACACTGATGGCAACAGGCAATCGAATGGACAGCAGTAGTTTGTGACACTGGGACATTGAGCAGCAGCGGCGGCAGAAGCACTTCGATGTCGGCACAAGAAGAGGAAAAAATACAATAACGGCCGACAAGAAATGTCGATTATGAGTTGGGCCACCGCCGTCGCAGCCGCCGCAATTGTGTGCGACTGGCCAACAGACACTGACAGACAAACAGAGAACAGGAGAAAGAGAAGCAGGCAACACACCACAGACAGATGATGATTGTGATTACAGCTGCGATAGTGCGCAATTGGGAGGATAACAACAACAACTGCAGGAATGAAAGAGTCACAGAGTTGAGAAGTGTCTGCAAAGATGGGAAGAGAGAGAGAAGGAGAAGTAACAGTCAATATGACAAACACGTCAAAGGGTGCCAAGGGAGCTGGTATGTGTGTGTGTGTGTGTGTGTTTATGGAAGCTCTGCAAGTCAGTGGACAGGCAGTACCAACCCTCATCACCAAAAATCAATGATCAGTAGCAGTTTGAATGCTAAAATTAGAGGCACGTTCTCAGAGCTATCAGAGCACATTATGACAGCCAGGCAGCAAACAAACAGTAGGCTAATCCTTCATTAACCATCTTCATTTTCCCTTATATCAGTAATTAGGTAATCTAGAAATAGAAAGCCATGTACGACGGTCTAATCGTCAGTACTCAAAGACGCATTTTTAATACTCAGCATCATCTTCAGCACAAAGCCAAAAGCAGCAAAGCGTAGCAGAAAAAAAAGTGTAGATGCGAGGTGCCAATTATAAATGTGGCCAATTGAATTAGGTAAAGAAGTAATAATAAAAACCGCAAACAAAAGAAAGAAAGCTAGGTACATCAGAAAAGTCACAGTGAGAAGCAAAGAAGAAGGAACTGCCGAACAAAATGTCAATAGGCCTCGGCCGCCACTGGTTACGCATGAAGAATATAGCGCCTGTATCTGAACAGTCACTTGTCAAGTGATTGGTGATCAACGGTAATAATCGCGCCCGCGCACTCTAAGAGCAGCAATTGCCATTAGTGGTTGCGAGAGAGGGGGACGCAAATATGATTATCGATTATTAATGGTCCATTTGGAGGGGAGGGGAAAAGTGTAAGGAAAACAGACGTGACATGAAACACACAATGCAATGTAGGCGAAAAGCCAGCAAGTGGATCAACCGATTGCTTCCTTTTGCAAAGGAAAATCAGAGCCCTAGTTGAAAAACATTGGCTCAAAAGTAAAAAAAAATAGAGGAGTTTACACTGGTGAACAGCAAATGTCCTTTGATAAACAATCACAACAACAACACCTAAAAACCGCTTTGTCACAAGCACTTCTCAATATTAGATTATTGTAATATAAAAGAAACATGATTGCTAAATGCTAATGCAACTTAGAAGCAAACAAGAGATTAACATTACTATAAATTTTAACAGACAAGGTAGTGTTTCTAGTGATTCATCAAACTGGGGAAAACATACTGTTTACTGCATTTTAGTCTGTACAACAGCAAAGTCAAACAAGTAAACGGAAGATTAAAGGGCACTAGAATTACCTAAACTGTGCGTGGATTGCCCCAAATTAAGATTAGAAGTGGCAACTGCATCACCGACTACAACTTACGTAATTTGATCACCAGCAATTAGCACTGCAGTGGTAATTCACGGTACATTTGAGTAATGCCGGGGTTAATTAAGGCTGGTTCAAGGCAGGCACTTGTGAACGAGCAAAAAAAGCAAAAATGCAATTGACGATGGCGGCGGTGGTGGTGGTGGTGAAGAAGAAGAGGGAAAGTCTGGTTGGCTGTTGAAGTGTTGGTATTGTGTCAGACTAGTTGAAAAGAACTGTCACCAAAGTGAATTCCCCTGTGCGTCTGTGCGCTGAGGACAAACCACACTACTACCACTGCATGACCACACACACTGATGTACAATGAGAGAGTTTGCTCTGCTCGAATGTGCTGGGCGGTACAGAAGCTAATTGTTTCAAGCTCGCTCGGCTTTTAGGTAGAGTTTGCTGCTGTCGCTGCTGCACCACTGCCACCACAAGCTCTACAGCCGCCGATGACTACTGCCATCGGAAAGAAAGAGAGTGCCGGGCGTAGAGCACTGCAATTGTGGTTTCTGTGCAATTGGCGCTCTCTATTGTTATCCCCTCGTTAGAGACTGTGGCTGGCAAAAATTTCCCTTATCAGCAGCAGTGGTAGTATTAACGAGCAGTACGGCAACAACTGTACAAACTCCGCCATTTTCTGCTACACTGCAGATGCTTATGAAAACATTGTGTCACCGGGGAGGCAGCAGCAACAAGCAATGCGATCGAACGATGCGGCCGGCGAACTGAGAGAGGGCACCTAGTCAAAAGCAATGTTGGGCGACAGGAAGTGTGCCATTGGGACAGACAATCAGTGCATCGAGTTATGAGCTAGTCTTCATTCGTTCATGTGATCTCCCTCCTCTTTTTCCTTGAGGCCAATGGGAAACAACACCCCGCACTAGCCACTTTGGCCAGACAACGCGTGCGTAAAAAATGCGGCAACGAGAAAGTGGTAAAAGAAACCTGCACTGATTTAGAGAAAGAGAAATTAGCACTCCACTGGCAACAATACCACACACAAACACATAAGCGCTATTTGCTCCGGTAACCACGGCCAAATTATATATCGACTATAAGCATCAAGCAATATTTACCAAGCGATTAAGCGAGCAGTGGTGATGGTAGAGGGAGAAGAAAGAAAGCAAAAACTGTTCCGATTGTGCGCGACAAAATAGCATATGGTTGATGATAAGATGATAAATGAGATTAGAAGATCTTGATCAACAGAAGAACACGGCAGCGCCACTAATGAATAGAAGTAATGCAGTAATAAGCAGTACAAGTGGACTGAAAGGGGGCGAAACAGTGGAAAAGAGTGCAAAAGCAAACACACACAGACAGACAAGTGAACAGCAACAACAACAAAGAGGTAGCAAACCTTCAAACTGGGAAAACTGCGATCGAATTCGGCTGTAGTTGGAGGTAAAGTGCTCACAGGCACACACTTCGCCCTCTTCATGGGAGTGAAATTGGTGCTGCAGCTGGTGCCGGTGCTGGTCTTCAGGTTTCTCTTCTTCCTTGTCCTCTTCATCACCTTCTTCAGAGGTGAGCACCTGCTGAATGGTGGAGGTGCTGTTGATAATGTTGTTACGTGCCGAATTGGTACGTTGCACTACGGCAGACTTCTCGTCTTCAAGCACAGCCACCGCACTTGTCTGTCCATCATGGCCAAGTGTGGACTTTCTCGGCTTTGGCTGAACAACCGACAGAATACCCTTCTCTTCCTTCTTCTTCTTCTCCTCTTCAACAATTGCCAGAGGTGAATTGACCGAGCAATGCTGCTGATTCACTGCCTCATTATTGGTACACTGCTCCTGCTGCTGCTGCAGCACAGTACTACCTTCGTGCTCAGTCGTTTTCAGTTGTTCACCTACCGAAGAAGGAACTGTGGGGTGGGGAGGTTACTATACTATACTAGCACAAGAGTGTACACACTGCAGTGTCGCGGCTGTAAATCGTGTGTTGTGCTAGCAGTTCAGGAAGTGGCTGCAACCTGACAGTGGCTACTACTATGTGCAAATATGGCTCGCCACCAAATCAAACAACCAGAAAAAGCAAGCGAGTAAGCTCTGGTTCAAACAATATTGACATACCTGTTGCCGGCTGCTGGTCGGTGCTCCTTTTCTGGTCAGGCTCAACAGGTTCAGTTAGCTGCTGCTGTTGTACAGCTGTTTCCTTTTCTACTTTAGGCTGTTCGACTGGTTTGGCATCAGGTGACACTACCTTTCCAGTCTCTTCAGGTGGCTGAGGAGCGGCGGTAGAGGATTCAGACGTTTTAGATGACTCATCCTTTGACTCAATGACCTCAGTTTGGTCCAATTTTGAGTTAGTTTCCTTCACCGGTTGTGCACCGGTTTGAGGGATCTCCGTTGAGTTCAGGGTCGGGTTGATGGAGTCGTCAATATCTGCAGCGATTGATTTACCGCTGTCGCCGGATGACTTGACGACCACAATGGGCGACAGGCTAGTGTCGCTCAGAGAGGACATCTTAGAGTCTTCAAGGCCTGACGATGAGGAAGATGAAGCCGAAGAGGAGGCTCTGGGGGAGGTTTCAAAAACTGGAGGTGTCCCTCCTTCTGCTGAAGAAATTGACAGGCGAGACGTACTGGGCTCAGCAGCATTGGCGCTCGGCGATTTAACCACTCGTGGTGATGGTGGTGCACTGGTCGATTGAGTTGAATCCTCAGTAACAGATGGCGGAGCAGTTGCAGTTGCTGATGTGACAGGTGGTGGCGGCGCCGGAGCTCGTCGCTTTTTGCTCGAGGATGCCGCGGCCGAAGTGGCCGATCCAGGCGAGTCTGGAGCTGCGCCCTTTCCGTTATGTTCAGCAGAAGGCTTTGTCGACAGTGACGTTCGTTGACTTGGCACTGGGGGCGGTTTGTTGCTGACTAGGGAGGTGGAGGGACTCTCTGAGGGATTGGGCGACAAAGGAGGCGCCGGCGAGTTTGTTGGCGTACTGTTGTCTGTCTCAGTGTGGGACAGCATCTCGTGGTATCCTGACGAGTCGGAACCGGAATTCTGGCGACTGAGACGGTGATGGTGGTGGTGATGGAGTTGTTGTTGTTGATGATGCTGTTTGGATGGCTGAGTGGTGACCACGCTCTCCGGCGGCACCTTAGGGGCCTCAGTTGTGGTCGAGTGTTCAGAGAGCGAAGAGGAGTCGTTGTGGTGCTCAAATGAGGAGAACACCTCCGAAGACGGCCGCTCTTCCTCCTCATCACGAATGGGCGCCAGATTCTGCATCGACTTGGCCGCCTTCAACAGTGGAGGTGGCGGGGCGGGTTTCCGCTTGTAAGAGCGAGCAGTTCGAATGGAGCAATTGTCGCCATCCTGTTTGTCTCGCGAGTGAGTCTCAGAGAGCGACCGCTTGTACATGCCAGCGGCGATGTTTGGCGTGG